ATAGGTTTATGATAAACGAACTAAAGTATAGAAACCAAAACAACGTGGAAATGTTATAGGTCGAATGTATTTCGTTCCTCCATCAGCTAGTGAATGATACTATTTAAGACTTTTACTAAGCATCGTTTGTGATACAACCTCTTTTTGACATCTTTGTACTATAAATAGTATATTATATAATACCTTTAAGGAAGTATGTGCTGCATTAAATTTATTAGAAAATGATCACGAATGGGATTTGTGCTTATCTAAAGCAGTACAAATTCAATCTGGCTCCCAATTGTGTTATTTATTTACAACTCTTCTCTTATTTTGTAATCCGATTGCCTCTGAAACACTTTGAGAAAAATATTTTAACTTACTTACTGATAATATTAGATTTCAACTTACTCAAAATAATACTATTACCTTTACAGCTACTAATATACAAAATCAAGCTTTACTCCATTTAGAATCTATATTAAATAAGCACAGAAGATCCCTTTCTGACTTTTCACATATGCCTTTATCACAAGATATCTCCACTTACAATAACACCAATTAATTACTTAGAGAAAAACAAAGTTATAACCTTGAAGAACTTACTAAAGTAATCGAAAATGGGGTCCCTAAGTTAAATATCGATTAAGCTGCTATTTATTCTAAAGTTGTGTCTGCAGTAGAAAACAATCTACCTATCCTTTTATTTGTCAATAGTCCAGGTAGAACAGGAAAAACTTTTCTCTATAAGTATGTTTTTTTTTTTTATTAATATTTCTTATATATTTTTTTTATAGCTAACTACTTATCTTAATAAATATTTAGTATCATACTTGCGAAAATTCGTCTCAGTGATCATATTGTCTTTGCTATAGCTTCATCTGAAATTGCTTTACTTCTTTTATCTGGTGGTCACATTGCATATTCCAAATTTAAAATTCCTATCAATTTGAATAAAAGCTCAACTTGCACTATCTCTCATGGATCAGATCTTGCACTACTTTTACAAAAATCCAAACTTTTAATATGGGATGAAGCTCTGATGGTTAATAGATATACACCTAAAGCTCTAAATAGAACTTTATAAGATTTAATAAAATCTATAAATCCTACTTTAGAAGAAAAGCTCTTCAGAGGTAAAGTCGTTATATTTAGAAGAGATTTTCGTCAGATTCTTCCTGTTGTTTCAAAAGGTGAACATGAAAATATTGTGGATTTTTCTTTAAAAAGATCACCTTTATAGAAACATATCGAAGTTATGTCTTTAACTATCAATATGTATCTTCTGTTTACTACTAACACTTCTGATATATTTGAGTATGAAAAATTTTCTAGATGGTTTATTAATATTGGTGAAGGTCGAATTCCTACAATTGAAAAAGAAATCGATGCTATTCAACTCCCAACAGATATAATTCTACAATCACAAACTTTACCTGACCTATTACGAGTTGTATATCCTGATCTTTCACCAAATTTAAATTTGAATTATTTTGTAAAGCAAGCTATATTAGCTCCTAAAAATGAATATGTTAATACTATTAATTCACTTATTATGAATCAATTTCCTGGCGACACTTTTGAATATTTTAGTGCTGATACTATTGAAGAGCAAGCTGAAGCAGCATATTTATATCCTGTTGAATTTTTGCACACTCTAACAAGACTACGCCAGGGCATAGGATCGATTTTACTGTTATGTAATAGTCGGAAAACAAATGTTATTAAGATAAAAACTTGGGTTAGAGCTTAGGTTAAGGTTAGATTAAAGTTAGAAAGAACAATAATATAGCAAAATTGTACAAGAAAATTTTTTTGTTAGGACCCCAAAGATGGTTTACTAGACTAAATTTTGAGTTATGTGCAATTTTTGCAAAGTGAGCGTTTGTTTTGAATTTTTTCACATTACACCTGATCCTGATCTTTGATTAGTTGATAGACGTCAGAAAATTATGTAACAGTAAAATCGATCCTACATCCTGGCATAGTTCTTTAACAATATCAGGTCTTCCTCTTCATAAGCTCACATTAAAACCTGGTGCCCCAATAATATTACTATGAAATATCCATTCTGCTAACGGTCTTTGTAATGAAACTACTGTAGATTAATTTGTCAATTATTCTAACACCACGTTATTGATACTGAAATTATTACTGAGAAATATTCTGGAACTCGAGTTTCCCTTTCACATATTACTATGACTCCTACTAATATTGATTTGCCTTTTACTTTGAAACATCGTCAATTTCTAATACAACCTGCCTTTGCTATGACAATTAACAAATCACAAGGCCAAACTCTAAATTTTGTAGGTTTATACCTTCCTACTTCTGTCTTTTCCCATGACCAACTCTATATAGCATGTTCTTGTGTTACTTCATGAAGAAATTTGAAAATTCTTATTATTCATCATGATAAAACAAATAAAATCAATTACTCTATTACTTCTAATATTGTTTATTGTGAAATTTTTTACTAACCTTTTTCCTATAGATAACCTTTACCTCAATTTATTATCATCTATTATATAGTATGTTTTATACTTTTTTATTTTTTTTCTTAACTATTTAATTCTTTCTTTTACCTACCATCGCTTAATATTTATAATTTATACTTTTAATATTTTATACCTACACACAACATGTTATTACTTTATTTATCAACTTCACATCTTTTAACTTATTATAATATACTTATTTATTTAGAAATTTTTTGCATATACACTATTTATTTATCGACACTTATCTATTTATTCAGTTTATGAATCCTATTAATTTATATAATAATTTAAAATTTATCATTTCATTTCTCTAATTAATTATTATTATATTTTTATTGTTATTTCTTATTACTATCACTACTATATTTTAAATACAAATACGTTTCTTAAAAAATAATTACAAACTTTATTCTAAATTTTTTAATTTATTTATATTTACTAAATTATTTTTACAAATTTTTTTTATGTTCTACTATTATAAACTTATAAATTGTTAATCTTTCATTTCTTTATTAAATAAATACACATCCTCACTTTATCTATATAAAATTTAACTAATCTCTATTACTGTCCAATATTAAATACATTTATCATTATATTTAATCCGTTAGTGAAGTGACAGGTCATATACTAGTTTTGATTTAAACTTTTTAAAGTTTTTGAATTATACAATCTGATTGGCCTGAGTTTATTACTATTAACAACAGGTTCTGTGTCAAAATCCCAAAAGTCAAAATCCTGAAATCTAATTGTCACATTGCGTAGTATCGGGCTTCTAATATTTAAACTCTACTTTTAATTAGTAAGCATGCTTACTAATTATAAGTGGAGTTTAAATATTGGAAGCCCAACACCACGCAATGTGACAATTAGATTTCAGGATTTTGACTTTCGGGATTTTGACACAGAACTTTAACAACAAATAGATTTATCCTTATTATGTAATTTTTGTTGAAAATAAGTTTTTTTTTATAATATTTTCTTATTTTTGTTTTATTTGTATTATTCTTTTAAGTATTCTAAGTTAATAAATATGTATATCTTTCATTGGTTATAACCTTTCTTTGTAAGTAGGGTTCCACATTTGATTTGATTTGATTTGATTTGATTCAAATATTTAATTTTAAATCAAATTTAAATATAGATTTTCAAATCAAATTAAATTCAAATTGAAAGATCAAATATTTGATTTGATTTGAAAATATTTATAAATAGCTAAAATTTGAAGAGTTATAGT